TACAGCATGAGCTGGCAGTTAATAATTGATTCCATTATTTATGAGAACAAGGAGGTGATCGCGATAGGCCTGTAGTTGGACGGGTCTAAGCGGTCGCCTTTTTTAGGGTTCGGGTGGACAAAAGCTGTCTTCCATGAATTCGGGACTACGCCTTGGGATTAGAAGTACCGGAAAAGACGCGTTAGGACCGGTGCCAACTCCGGAGCACACGTGAGCAGCACACTGAACTTCCAGCATCGTTGAGCATTATATGTTTGTTTTTAGTGTGTATTTTCAAAGCTTATTGTTACGTTTATTTTTATATATGTTTTTGAAACCTTTTTAGTTTTATATAGAATATAATATGATATGAATATATTTATGTATAATATGTCTTGTATGAATGTGTGTATATCCCTAAATGTGTATGTAGGTATATTAATTAGCAAGGAAATAATTCAATTTATAAAATAATTATTGAAATGTATGTCATAAACACTTCCAGGCGGATCGTGCGTGTTTCTGTGGTTATGGCAGAATCATCAGCGCTGTAGGTTACCCTGCAGCATTACGCTGAGTCATAACCTTTTCACTGGCTCGATACACTCTTGTAATTTTAATCTAAGTACCATACTTTTAACTTTTTATTTTTGTGATGTGTACAGTTCCAGTGAATAAATGTCTTTCTTTCTTTCCAGTTGTGTCAGACCATATGCCAAATCAAAGTCATAAACAGATCTCCCCGCATGATCGGTTAAACGTGAACCGAGCCATTCGGCGTGGTGGGCGTTAAAATCGCCAAGGATCACGATCTCTGCGGATGGGACCTGTTGTAGCAAAGAATCTGTAGCCATTTGGACGTGGTCAATGAGTCGGTTTGTTTCGGCATTACTGCTATGGGACCTATAGAGGCACCCGTAGACGCGCGGATGGTCGTCGCTGTCTACGCGTAGCCATAGGATGGACAGGTCCGAACCTTCAAGACTGCCGAGGCGTCGAGAACAGATGTCCTCTCTGACATACACGCAAACTCCAGCCCGAGGCACAAAGGAGTGTTCCAATTTGTACCCCGGGTAGGAGAGATACGAAATATCAGCCGGAGAGGAAACCTGCGTCTCGGTCAGAAAGAACAAGGCCGGCTTCGCCGTCTCGAGATGGTAGTGGACTGCGTTTAGGTTCGAGTGAAGTCCCCTGATGTTGCAGAAATTCACGAATATCGTGGCAGGGGTCCCCTTGGTCTTGTTGCTCAGTTTGCCCCGAGCAGTTATGTTTTTAAGCGGAATTTTGCCCCTCCCCCCAGAATACGCGGGGCAGCCTGAGCATCCACGCTCAGGAGTGGAATAACATGGTCGTGTATGCTCAGCGAGGGATTCTCCATGGGTGCTGGTACCCTCCTGGGGTAGTCTAACGTGTAATTCCGCTACTATGTTGATGGGGGGGAATTAGGCCTCCGGCCACCTGCACTCACCAGACGAAACGCAGAAGCAGAGCTTCTACTTCACGCCGGTAATCTGTGAAGTCGTGGTACCAACCCGGCTCGAGCCGGCCCATACGTGCAACAGCAAAAACTGCTGCGTGGCTCTACCACCGTTAAAGATTAGATGGAATGACGACCTGGTAAGACAGGAAGTGGATGGATGCAGGTGGCTCAGGGCCGTGCTTTGTGGCGTTCCTTGGAGGAGGCCTATGTTCAGCAGTGGACTTGTGAAGGGCTGTAATAATGATGATGATGATGACGATGATGATGATGACGATGATGATATCCTATAAAAGTCCACTGCTGAAAATAAGCCTCCCTCATTGATTGTCTCATAAGGGGAATATTTGCCATAGTTGCCACGCTTGGCAACCACAGTTTTTTTTTACTTTATTGAGTTGTTATATGCACCTGTACAAGTTTCCCTCTGCTGCCGCTTACGACAGCCACGGGATGATATTGAGAACAGGGTATTCTTACACTGCCACTACACGGCAGTCCATAGTCAAAGTCGATTTTTTTTATTTAGAAAGCACTTATTGAAAGTTAAAAAGTGATCGCTTCAACCAGTCTCTATTGCGGGACACCTTGTGAGAAGAGGAGGTAAGAAACTAAAAAATATGTATTACCTACATATATCAAGAAAATATAACTGGTATATTTTAACATCGGTAACACGTGCCTCCGTGGCGCAATCGGCTAGCGCGTTCGGCTGTTAACCGAAAGGTTGGTGGTTCGAGCCCACCCGGGGGCGGTATAAAACTTTTTGTAAACATCTAAACTTCATAATTAACATCATTAATGTGTATAACTAACATAAAAATGTCGATAGCAAAAGAATAATATTAATATTATTTTCAACTTTAACATCAGCGAAGCGACAATAGCCTAATGGTAGCGTGCGGACTCAACGGTCGTGAGTTCGAATCCGCCATTCGACTACTGTCGTGACACACACAACAAGCACTTTAAGCTTACCAGAAGAGATTAAAGGGATATTAGTCATGTCAACAGCCTTACTGGTGCTTTTTTTTAATAAAAAATCAATATGTGGTATATCATTCTGTGGGTGTCACGTAATAGGAGACAGAAGAAAACTGTAACAAGAGATTGGAAGCAGCGTGTTCTTATAACAACTCAATATTAATAAAAAAAAGGTGTTGTGATTGACTGTAATGGATATAAATATATGATACTACGGTTCATTTTAATAGGTTAGAATGTGGGTTACAAACGAGTACAAAGTTCACATGATGGTAAGTGGATGCTGTGGCCCATAGACATCTATCTTCAATTAAGAATCAGAATGCAGATGCGTTGTCACCCTCGAGGACAAAGAAATGCCTTGTTATCAGTAAAGATGGCCATCAGTTCCCTATTATATAGTGCCCCGGTCGAGCCGAACCATCCGTGCTATAACCGGCTTTTGACGGCTCCGTGGCGCAGTGGCTTAGCAATAAGTTGCAGCGCTAAGGGCCGCGGGTTCAAATCCCGCACGGAACAAGTATTTGTATGGTCTACAAATAATTGTTGCGGGTCTGGATGATGTCCTTGTGAAATGTATGTAATGGGTCACCTCGACCAAGGTAGCACCACGCTCTCACAGAATACCAGTGCAAAACAGCTGCTGCTGTGTTTTGTGTGGTGAGTGTAGAGCCGGAGACCCTTTTTACTGGAAACAAATCATTCCATCTTAGTCCTCACGGGTGACAACGTATCTGCATTTTGATCCTTAATCGAGGATAAATGTAGATGTCTATGGGCCACAGCATCCACTTACCATCAGGTGGACTGTGTGCTCGTTTGTCACCCTATACTATAAAAAAATACCCTTTAGACTAGTACACTCGATGCTGCCTGGTAGCAAAAATAGGTAAGAGGTAGTACCTACCCAGACTCCAATGCAAAAAAGGAGTCCTATCATCAAAAATAAAGAAATAGAGTGATACCTACCCTACCCACTACCTCTAGGCAGAATAGAGAAAGAAGAAAAAAAACAAAGGTTTGTATAAATAATGTCTTTTAATTACAGAATTTAATTTATTCTGATTAAATAAAAATGCGTCACCTATACTCCCTATGGTATTTCGTTACGTTGTCACCATGATTTTTTTTTTATTTGAAAAGGCATTATTGTAATAGCATAATTGGACTTTTCTAAAAATTTCCATAAATTATTTACATAAATAATTGTATAGAATGTATCCTATTTTAGATAATTATTAATAATTACAATCTATGTTTAAATACCATTTATAACATGATATTTATGAAACTTTATTAGTACAATCAATATTTACATACTTATGTGATTAGTAATCTGTCTAATATCTAGCATTACTGCTATTAAGAATATAATTCCAGTCTATTAATATTAAAGTATTAAAAATGGAAGTTGTCTAATTGCTTTGATGCCATTAGTACTTATATTGCCTCATACTGGGACTTTCTAATTCATTGCACAAATAGAGACCACTTTTACGAAGAACTACTCTCGGTGGACCACATCACCCGCAACCAGTGCCGGTCTGAGGCAAGTTTTAGGATGAAGCAGAATGCAATTATGACGTCCCACTTGCTTGCCCCTATACCAATTGTGCTTATAAGTATGGAACTTAGAAGATTTCGATGATATCTTAACCCTCGGTCTAACTGGTCAATTTAATACTTTGCCCTCACACATGTCAACAGATAAGGTCAGGCTCATACCATACTAGCCTCATGATCATAATTTAAATATTGATAAGCAAAAAACATTTTAGATTCCTTGTCACTACTAACTCACTCTGGACGTATGAGGAAGCTCAGTTGCTCAGCAAGCTATGGAGGGAGCTATACTCAGGGTTTGTCTGTGTGAAAGATTTAGAAACAAGGATATCTGCAGTAGAACCAGAGTAACTGACACAGCCAAATGGATCAGTAAGCTGAAGTGGCAATGGGCAGGCCATATAGCTCGAAGAACCGACAACCGATGGGGAAGTAAGGTTCCTAAGGCAGGCGAAGTGTAGGGCCACTACATGGATTGATGTCCTGGAAGACAAGCAGGAGTTCAATGGATGCAGGTGGCTCGGGTGCTTTGTGGCGTTCCTGGTGGGAGGCCTATGTTCAGCTGTGAACTTGTGAAGGGCTGTAATGATGAGAATGATGAATGTCACTCCTAAGACCTAAGATGCAATGCCTGTCAGCCTGTAATTTTACTGCCTCCCTATACCCTTCAGATTGAATAACAGTAGTACACTGCTGCTAAACAGCAGAAACAGGCAAGAGGGCGGTATCTTTCCAGACGGAACCTAGGCCGCACTGTCCTCGGACATCTTTTCTGGCATTGTCATCTCTGAGGACTAAGATGAAATGTCTCATAGCCTATAATAACTACTGACTCTGCAATATATTTCAAAACCTATACACAACACTTCTGCCCAATAGCCGAAACAAAGAAGAGGCAAACCGATTAATTTGCCCTCCATCTTTTCCTCTAATAATTAGAAAATTCCAAATGTAAATGTGAGTTCAGTACTATTAATAATAATTTCATTAAGCTTAATCATGTCTGACTACTCTCATTATCAATTTTAATTTTTACCTCAATGTTTTCATTAACAATATTATTATATTTCATCCGAGACGATGTATCAACATTGTGCCTCCTTTTCATATGCTTTTTGTAATTAGAACCATTAGTAAAGTCCCTCTGACACAGAGTACATGTATACGGTTTGGCTCCGGTATGCTGCCGTAGATGTAAATTGAGACGGGTTTTGAAACGAAATGGCTTATTACAATATTCACATATATAAGGCATTAAATCTGTGTGGACAATGGAATGTGACTTTAAGTGCCTTTTAACCCTAAAACTTTTCCCACATTGTTCACACACAAACGGTTTAGCTCCGGAGTGCAAGCTTATGTGTGACTGGAGGTTTCCTCTGGCCTTAAAAGCCATAGGACAAAATTGGCATTTGTATGGCTTAGATTCTTCATGTGTTAATATATGAGTGCCCAAGGTTCCCTTAGTATAAAACATTTTGCCACATACATGACAAGAGAAATCCCTACTGCGGTTGGTGTGTACCAATTTATGCTGCTGTAAATTGCTGCGTGTTTTGAACTCCTTATAGCAATGGTCACATTTTAATTCTTGCTCTCCGCTTTCTTTACTACATAACTTCTTAAAACTTTTATTGTATATATCTAAGTGGTCACGCAACTGTTCAGGAGTATCGAAACTCGCACCACATTTCCTACAAGAAGATAAATATACACCACTATGTTCAGTGTTCCTATGTCTTTTTATATATGATATCATTGAAAACTTTTTGTTGCAGAATTCACAACAATAGTTAAGGGGGTGTTTGTGGAGGCGTAAGTGATTAACAAATGACTTAAAATTGGATATTATTTTGCCGCAGTCTACACATTTGAAAACACAACATCTATTATGTATTTGTAACGAATGTAACCTTAACAATGATATATTTCTGCACTGTGCATCACAGTAACCACAACGGCACATTTGCTCTTCCCATGTCAAGTCCAGTGTAGATATGTCAACAGGTTCTACATCTGTTTTATTTGCAAGTTTGAGCCGTGATGTGGTTTTCTTTTTGATTTTTTTCCTCCGTACAGCTAGCAAGGGGAGATCACTGTCGGTGGTAATAAAACCATCTGTTTCAGGCAAGGAGTCCTGTAAATCATCAATACTATGCCTTTCAGCTTTAATGTTTTCTAGATCATCAATAAACTTATTGGTATTGATTAATGTCATATCACTTTTTTCATCCTTTATTAAGGCCTTGGACTTCTGAAAATCGTCCCAATTCAGATCGATTGGTTTACCCACTTCAGAGGAATCATTTTTTAAATGGCACTCTTGAGTCTCATTGCTTCCAGAAAATATCTGATTCAACTTTTCCTGTGCTTCCCGCACATTATGAAGGAAAATCCACGTACGTTCTAATAGGTCGAAACAGGAGAAACAAATAGCCTTAGGTAGATTATTTGAAGGAGATACATCAACATTTATCCACAGCATCTTAATAGCTATTTTGGAGTTAATTGCTACTTCCTCGTCAGCGTAAATAAGTTGTGGAGTAGGTTCGGCACACAACCGACAATAATTCTCATTCCCAGACATTTTATTACACCAATATATTTAGTAATTTCTTCTAGCGCGGTTTGTTATACAAATTATTACTTTTACTTTCAGTTTCAGCAAAATAAAAATAATATTTTTTTTACAACTGGCTTTAGGTTTACGGCTTTGGGTTCTAGCCCTTCTGACAAGAATTGCCCATTAGAGTAGTTGTTTACATCACCCCATCAACACTAAGTCTTATATACCTGAGTCTATGGTCAAGTCTTATATACCTGAGAAAATAATCGATTACGTTTCGGCTCAATTGTGTTAAATGAGTTATATTGACTCCTTCTTATGAGCAATAACTCCGCTAATTTTATATGGCTCGGTGCGAGTTCAACATTTGTGCCTCTTTTGAGTAGCTTGGCTTTAAATATCTCAGCGGCGAGCAAAACGGTGGCAGCGACGCGAACTAATCGGCTGTATTTTGAAAATCGTTCTAACTCGGGTAAGTAATCGCTAACGTTACGCTTAATGATTTTAAAGTGACGTCAAATATTGTCTGTGGATTAAAAGTTAGCTCTCAGCAGTCGGGAATCATTCAGAGTTCAGAGACGAGCCGCCGGAGTGACAAGAAGGTTTGCTATATATCATGTTATTTCGTTATACTGTGGCATTGAATTAGTTTACTAGAAATAAATATTGTCATTGTGTTGATTAATTCTTTTTATTTAGAATTCCACGATCCACTTTAGAGATACCCTTACACAATGTATAATCATCCTTCATAGTACACTGCTTCACAATATGTTGATGCGTCACATTGTGCATCCTTTGGAGGATTTTGACGGCAACTTGAGCCAGCAGAGAGCTGACAATTGGCGATGGTATCTCAAGGCGCCTAAGCAGACAGACACCTTATCTTGAGAATCATATCACCATCAGAGCACTAAATCGCACCACTTTTACATAACAAAATCGTCTTCAAACCATTATTTAAACGATAATACAGGCGCAGCAATCCGTCGCCGGTCAAGTTCCCGCCAAAACTCCTAGGTGATAATAAACATTTTTTTATTAATTGGCTTTACGGCTCTGGGTTTTAGCCCTTCTGAGCCTAAAGTTACAATGTATAATTATCCTTCATAGTACAGTGCTTCACAATATGTTGATGCGTCACATTGTGCAGCCCTTGGGAGATTTTGACGGCAACTTGAGCCAGCAGACAGCTGACAGTTGGCGATGGTATCTTAAAGTGCCTAAGCAGCCAGACACCTTATCTTGAGAATCACATCACTATCGGTATCGGAGCACTTGTTTCACTGTTTCCACTAATAGTAGGTACACATGCGCAGACACTTAATACACAAAATCGCACCACTTTTACATATCAAAATCCACTTCAAACCATTATTTAAACACTTTCTAGACTCCGTGGATTCTAATACGAATCATCGGAAAAACTTTAATTCCGTCACTGAGTTCATTCCGAAAATTTTCCAAAGTAAAACGTAGTGATTATATACCTACACTTTGTTTCAAAGAGTTTGTCTGTGAGGGCATCCACTACTTTATCTGCCATGCCACTTAGGAATGAAAATAATTATTTGACAAATTTCATTCACAGTAGGGTAAGTTAATTTGTTAGAAAAATGTAAAAATTAACATTATAAATAAATTCATTGACAAATTTACGATGAGGTTGAGTGTCCATGTATAATCCTGTAATCGCCTCCCGATCCAATATGCGTATTTTTATAATTTACTTATTTATAATAAATAGTGTCACATTAAAAAAAAGTCAAATTAAGTCATGCTACTATAATGAGGAACACCGATGTTTTAAAATATTACAGTAAAATATAAATAAGGTCATAGATCATGAACATTACATTAGTTTTTATTTCACGTCAATACATTCTATTTTTTAAAAAGTTCATAGGCTGCATTAGCCACTTACCTTAAGGTAGATTTTAAGTTCGTTTTCTATTGCATGCTTGTGAGACTGTACTAGTCTAGAGGCTTTCGTTTGTCCGGTAAATGCTTGCCCTTCTTTTCGTTAAGGCAATCAAGCCTGATGTGTCTCCTTTTACCTCATTCGCAGCATGTTGGATCATAACGGAACTTCCTTTCTCTGTTACCAGTTTCAACTTGGTACGATTTCGTGTTGCTTCGCACAGCCAGTGCGCATTTTAGGGATTTGTGGTAGCCTAGCTGTACTACTGCTCAAACCTCGACGTTCCGAATGTCGTCAACCAAAGTCTGAAGTAGACTCACCTTTGTGGCAGACGGTGCTGATACACAGGTGCGACGAACCAGTCTCTCTATCTAATTAACGCACAGATGGAGTATCTGTGTAGGCGCTTGAATACGATCTCGTATCTGAGCTCTTTCGAAGCGTGGTCCATAATATGTTTGTCGTCGTGCCGTGTCTCTAGGGCTTTCAATAGAATACAAAGTTTACTATAACTAAGCAGCCACTCGAGTGCTTGAGGGAGTTATTCATCACCTCCTTGTGCTAAGGTTAATTTCCATAGAAGCTTAATCTTCACTCCAGCCACTGTTCTTGTAAAGGTTGTCAAAGTGTAAGTTGTAAGCTGTTCATAAAGTTGTGCCGTAAAATCGAGGTTTACCTAATGTCATTGCCGGTGCAACCTGAACTGAGGTACCCAGACTGACTTACACTTCTTGAATATCCTCTCATTACAGTTCTTTACAAGTCCACTGTTGAACATAGGCTTCCCCCAAATAATGCCACAAAGCGCGGTCCTGAGCCACCTATATCCATGGAATTTCTGAATGTCTTACCAGGTCGGGACTTCATCTAGTGAGGTGCCGCACACTTCGCCTACCGGGACGAGGTTTGCACTAGAGAACCTTGCTCCATTCGAGAAAGTTGCAAAATCTTGTGACTAAAGACGGTAATCAGTGCTGTTGGGACTGTCTTCAAGTGTTTTAGTTTTAAACGCGACTCTTTTATTTCTTTCTTATCTTGTGTCCTGATGGCTAATAAAATCCTGTAGCTCTTGTATGGCAGCCACCTGGTCCTGTCGAGCGAATTCCTGTCCTCTGTGGCTGCCAGTTCTTTATGAACTTTAATTTCAATGGCTTTTGGTGAATAATTTTTTGTTTTGATTTGTGGTTTATGAAATTAATCTGATGTGATAGCGGAATTGATCTTGAGAATGTTCTCAGGTTGCAGCCTTCCCGGAGCGTCGGTGCTTCTCGTCAGATTTATGTTTTTTTTTTACAGGCGTTCTATGGATCTTTTTTTTGTCCTATGATAAATCTTGTAGAGGGATATTATACTTGACGGATGACAAGAGCAGACTTCTTCCAAGAGCAGAATCTACTTCCGCGGCTATATAGCATATTAATTTTGAAGCCTGCTTAAAGATGTAGTTAATCCAGTCTGTCACTGTGCACTATTTTAAATTAAGAACATTCAGAAAAGGTATCACGTTCACTCATAAATTTGATTGCAACACGTATAAATTTCCTAGAATCCGTGCAAATTTAAACTATCCAGATGTTTTTATAAAGTCCATACGTGATCGGGATTGCAAACAATCTACCGATGCATTCCCGGACTGATGTGAAATAACGAAATAAATTACGTCACAGCATCGGCTTTACTTTGTCAACAAACTTGGGAGCTTCGGACGCGAGATGTTATCGTAGAATGCAAATAATTTTATTTAATACAGAAGTAATTTCTTTACTTGAATGTGGACGAATATTGAATACAAATAGGAGTAATCCACCCGATTTTGTAGTTTTAGCGTAAGAACTCATGGTACGATACTTATCCGCCTACGCAGCGGGAGCAGGACAGCGACACGCGTAGAGTATATTATTATGTAATGTAAAATAAAAATATGTAAATTTCCTAAAGTTGCTTCAAAACTACTAAGCTCCGTCATCATTATAATAATATCTGTTTTAGTTAAATCAGTATATTATGTATCATATATGACATTTTTTATAATATATGTATTAAAGTATATATTTGTGTTTTTGTAAATTTTTTAAGTTCGTTGTAACCGCCTCCGTAGTGTAATCACTGCCCTAAGGTTGACCTTAAGAGAATGCTTTCAGCATTAAGTTCGCCTTTTGATCCAATACAGTTTGTAAGGTTCAATAAAGATAAAAAAAACAACAAATCTTAAATAGATCAATGTAAGAATAAATAAAGATGCCACAATGTAAGGAGAAAGAAGAAAAGTAAAGATTGCAAAACAATACGTTGCAATATGCGTTTTTCGGTACGTTTTATAACTTCAGTCCAACTTGTCATTGGAATCAATGATAACATATTCTCATACATAAATCTAGCCATGCTTTCGTCTTTGCTTCAACTCCCATCCGTACCTCATCACCCCACCATAACGTGTTATTTTTCCTTTCATTGGTTCTTTTACTTACACCGCATACTTCGGTAGCTGCATCCACCAAACCTTTCTTGACATTATACAACACAGTCTCCAAGTCTAAATCATTCATACACAATTCAGCCATACTACTTATATTTTCTCTCAATCTACATTTGAACTTCTCTTTCACACCTACATCTCGTAACCTCTCTGTTCTTGTACGCTGTAACGCAGTGGTAGACACAGATGTCCGATGCCTCCATCGTCTGAAAAGACCATTAATTCGGCTTAAGACCAAGTAATGGTCCGTCCCTACGTTAGACCCCCGGTAAACCCTTGTATCTACCACCGCGCTCCTCATTCTTTCATCAACAATTATGAAATCTATCATGCTTCTATCATCACCTCTTTCCCATGTATAGGTGTGAATCTTCTTATGACGAAAGAAAGTGTTCGTCACAAAAAGATTCTTTTCACACATACTGTGAGGAGGTCTTCACCATTCTCATTTATACTTTTATCGCCAAACGTTCCCAATATCCTTTCATAACCTGACCTCCTCACCCCAACCCTTCCATTAAAATCTCCTAACATAGTAATATATTCATTTCCCTTACATTTCATCAACACCATCATTACCATGTCCTAAAACTGCTCTCGGATATAAGTGGGCTTAGACATGTC